GAGAGACATCCATCCGCTGCCTCCTGCACACTCCCTACCGGGGATGTGCCCGCAACCACGGCACATGCCCTGGACCCGAATCAAACCTGGAACCCTTCAGTCCGCAGGCCGATGCTCTATCCACTGAGCCAAGCTGGTCAGGGTGAAAGATAGTTTTGAAAGGCATTGGGGTTAGAGGAGCTTCCGCTAAAAGGAGCTGAAGACTCTCTCCTGGTCTCAGGACCCCTTGCTTTTTATCAGCACCATGTGTCCTAAGGCAAGGTGGAGATAAGAGGCTTCGGAGGGCAGGGTTTACAGAAGCCTTGTCAGATGGGGGAATGGCCTACAGCTGTTCCGGTGTCTGGCCAACAGGGGGCAGTAACGTGCAGATGGAGATGCCCAGAGCTGTCTGACAGCAGACAGCCGTCCTATTCAGGTTTGGGGGAAGTGCCGTAGCTGTTCTAACAGGGAATTACATGGGTGGCTTAGCCCTTGTTGAGCCCCCCAAGCTTCACCAACCCTTGGATGAAACTCTTGGAATGATGACTCACTGGAATCGGCCCCGGGCAGGCAGGACGTCCCTGACTGGCTTGCCTGGCGCTGAGATCGGGATGGGTTTGGCTGGCCCGCTTTCCCGCTTCCGCATGCCGGCCCCTATGCAGCCGGGCTGTTTCCAACCCTCAGCTCTCACCCTCCTTGTGATTAACCAGACACTATAATAGTGCAACTTTTTTTTGTTTGTTTTTTTTTAATATTTTTATTGGTTTCAGAGAGAGCTAGAACATCAATGAGAGGAATCATTGATCGGCTGCCTCCTGCACGCCCCCCACTAGGGATCGAGCCTACAACCCAGGCACGTGCCCTTGACGGGAATCGAACCTGGGACCCTTCAGTCCCCAGGCCGATGCTCTATCCACTGAGCCACACCAGCTAGGGCAACAGTGCAATGTTTTTGTTGTTTTTTTTGTTTTTTGTTTTTATCTTTTAAAGAGAGAAAGGCACGCCCCCCCCCCCCCCCCCCCAGTACGCTGTCTGAAAGCAGGGCTGCCCAACAGCCACCCCAGAAAGCCAAGGGGTGCCTGCTGGTCCCGGCCGGGGGCTGGGGAGTGGGCTGGCTGCCATGGGACCAGCCAGGGTGGACACACGCCGTGGACTGGGGGAGAAGGGGGCGGCTGACAAACTGGGTCACTGCCACCAGCCGGCCCATCGCGGCCCGCATGTCCAGCTGGAGCCTCGCTCCGCGCCCCCCGGGAGAGGGTGCCGGGGGACCCAGCGGGGCCGGGCGGGAGGCCAGGAGGCTGGGGCGCTCTGGGGCACCCCACTAACCCCACCAGCCCGGCAAAGGGAGCAGGCACATGTATGGGGGCCAGCCAGCTGCCTGCTGACTCCACTCCTGGCTCAGAGAGAGGGGGGGGGGGGGTAGATGACACAATAGGGGAGACTGCGTATCCATTACAAGGACTCACAGACGCTGCTGATACCAGAACCGAGCAAATTCAACGCCAGCATTTCCAAGTGTCCTGCAGTCCCCCCCGTGCGCACCCCACTCCATAAGGGGGCCCCAAAGCTAGCCGTGGGCGGGGGGGGGCCACTCAGGAGGCTCGGGGTGACGCTGAGAGAAAGGCCTCGCGGAAACCGGTGTGGCTCAGTGGATAGAGCGTCGGCCTGCGGACCGAAGGGTCCCGGGTTCGATTCCGGCCAAGGGCATGGACCTTGGTTGCGGGCACATCCCTGGTGGGGGGCGTGCAGGAGGCAGCTGATGGATGTCTCTTTCTCATTGATGTTTTTAACTATCTCTCTCCCTTTCTCACTGTAAAAAAATCAATAAAATATATTAAAAAAAAGAAAGCAGAATAACCGTGTAAAAAAGAGAGAGAGAGAGAGAGAGAAAGGCCTTGTCCCCCTACACACATGCAGGTCCGGTTTCCAACGACACCCATAATCTCCCCCGCAGCCCGCGGGCTGGTGACTGCCCTGCCATGGGGGCAGGCGGGGCGGGCCCAGAAGGTGCCACCCCAGGCCCCCAGGGGTCCGCGGGGTCCGGCCGGGATCGCGAGGGCCCAGCGCGGGGGCAGGGGAGGGCTGGGAGGACGCCAGCGCCCGCCCTCTGCCCGCCCGCCCGCCCCCGTGACCGCCTCTGTCGCCCGCAGGTGGTGGAGGACTGGAAGTACGTGGCCATGGTGGTGGACCGGCTGTTCCTGTGGGTGTTCGTGGTCGTGTGCGTGCTGGGCACCGTGGGCCTCTTCCTGCCCCCCCTCTTCCAGAACCACACAGTCCCGGGGGGGCCCTAGGCCGCCCTGCGTGTCCCGGGGCCCTCCCCCCCCCCCCGCCCCGTCCCCCGGGCTGTGGGGTGAGATGACGGGAGGGGCCCAGGGGGCAGTTCGGCTGTTTCCCTCTGGATCGGAGCACCGAGGCCCATAAGGCACATGGCACTGTCACCCGTCAAACAGCCAGGGCGTGGGAGGGCCGAGTCGGGACCCAGGAAATCCCAGCCCGAGGGGCCATGCTGCATTCTGGCCAGTCTTCCCCTACATCAGGGCAAGGACGGGCACCATAGCAGCACCCACTATGTGCCAGTCCCCCTACTGTGTGCCAGCCCCCTTACCTCCCTGCCCCGGTCTCCCTCCACTCCCCACTGGCGCTCTCTGTCCCTCACACACTTCAGGATCCTTCCCAGCTCCGAGCCTGTCAGTACCGGACCTTCGACCCAACCCTCCTCTCTCAGCCCCAGGGCCCCTCTCTCATCTCCCCGCCTGCTCTTCCCCGGCTGCATCCAGGACTCCGATCCACGCCGTGTGTCACTGTCCCCTCCCTAGAGGTCTTGCCCAGGCCCCCATCCCGGAGCCTTCCCCCCGCCCCGGGGGCCACAGCGCCCGCCACCCTCCCCCCCAGCGCCCCACAGCTCCTGAGGGGCTTACGGGCGGGCTTGTGTATGGCGCACACCCGGCCGCCTGAGGGCCAGCTCCCTGAGAGCAGAGACCCGGCCCTCCCCGTTCCAGGCGGCACCCCAGGGCCCGGGACAGAGCTCGGCACAATAAACGCATTGAAAGAAAGAATGAGTGAATGAATGAAGGCTCCTGTTCCTCCCGCAGCACCACCCCCCCCACCCGATCCCCCCACGAAGGCGGCCTCCCTCGTCCTCCACCGCCCAGGTCCCTCACGTTATGTCATCAGTTTTGGCCATCTCCCTCATGGACGCTCTGTCGCCGCCACATACTACCTTTTTCCCAGTACCCGATGCACGCAGTAGGCGCTCAAGATATTTGTAGAAGGAAGGATAACTTTATTTAAGTTATATTTTTAAATATATATATTTTGTTGATTTTTTTATACAGAGGAAGGGAGAAAGATAAGAGAGTTAGAAACATGGATGAAAGAGAGAGACATCCATCAGCTGCCTCCTGCACGCCCCCCCCCCCCCCCCCACTGGGGATGTGCCTGCAACCAAGGTACATGCCCTTGATCGGAATTGAACCCGGGACCCTTCGGTTCGCAGGCTGACACTCTATCCTCTGAGCCAAATCGGTCAGGGCTAAATTCTATTATTTTTTTTTTTAAATGATACAGTTCTAGCCCAGTCGGTGTGGTTCAGTGGTCGACCTCTGAACCAGTAGGTCACTGGTTTGATTCCCGGTCAGGGCTCATGACTGGGTTGCGGGCTCCATCCTCAGTGTGGGGCGTGCAGGAGGCAGCCGATCCATGATTCTCATCATGGATGTTACCTTCTCTCCCACTCCTTTCCTCTCTGAATCAAAAAATGAAAATGACACAGTTTTAGAAACACACACACAAAAATCTTCTGTTGGCCAGTTAAATACATTTTTTGACACGTCTTGGTTTGTGTAATCGGAATATAGGAGGCTCATTATAAAAAACTAGATGCCTGGTGCATGAATTCGTGCACCAGTGGGGTGCCTCGGCCTGACCTGCAGTACTGGGCCAAAACCTGCACTCTGGCATCCCCCAAGGAGTCCTGATTCGCAAGAGAGTGCAGGCCAGGCTGAGGGACCCCACTGGTGCACAATTGTGGCTGGGGAGGGATGCAGGAGGTTGGCCAGCCAGGGAGGGTCTGCAGGAGGGCTCCAGGGCGTGTCCGGCCAGTCTCGCTCAGTCCCCATCGCCCAGATCCCAGCAGCAAGCTAACCTACCGGTCAGAGCATCTGGGCCTGGTGGTCAGTGCACATCACAGGGAGCGGTTGAGCGGCCTTAGCATATCATTCTCATACTAGAGGCCCGGGGCATTAAAATTCATGCACTGGAGGGCGCGTCCCTCAGCCCGCCCTGCTCCCTCTCAGTCCGAGAGCCCTCAGAGGTGGGAGGTGACCAAGCGATCACACCTCTGCTGCTGCCACTGCCGGCAGCGCCAGCCTCGGCAGGCCCCGGTTAGCTGAGCCTCGGGCAGCCCAGGGTGGCTGGGCAGTGGACATCTGAGGCTTGCCTGTGCCTCGGGCTGGCCCTGGGGGGCTGGGGGCTGAGGGGCCCGGGGGACTCTGTTGGTGCCCTGTCCCTTCAGCCCCTCACAGGAAGAGAGGGATAGAGAGCTAGAAACGTCGATGAGAGAGAAACATCAACCAGCTGCCTCTTGCACACCCCCCACCGGGGATGTGCCCGCAACCAAGGTCCATGCCCTTGACCGGAATCGAACCTGGGACCCTTGAGTCCGCAGACCGATGCTCTACCGCTGAGCCAAACCGGTTTCCGCAAGAGTATATTTTTTAAAAACCACAAAAACCAAGTAGCAGGATCTCACCTCCTATAGTTCACACTTACTTCACCGCGTCCGAATCCTGCGGCCTCCTCCCGGGCTGCGGGAGAGGCCGGGGCGGGCCGTTCCCAGATGCGGGGCGCGCGGGGCGGGCCCGGGGGTCAGGGACCCCGCGGGGTGCGCCCTCCGCCCGGCGCCCGGCGGGCGGGGCGGGGCGGGGCTGGCGGGTCCCGCTCCGATTGGCTGCGGGGCAGGCGGGTCCCGCCCCGATTGGCCGGCGCGCCCTCCCGCACCAGCCCCAGCGCCTCCCCGGAGCGAGCGCCCCAGCGGCCCCGGGCGCGGCGGGCGGCGGCTGGACGGACCGGAGCCCGCGCTCCCGCCCTTTGTCTGCTCCGAGCGGCCGGCGCGGAGCCCCACGGGCGAGGCCGCCTCCTCCCGGAGTTTGTCCGCTCCGCCATCGGGGCCCCGGGCCGCCAGGCGCACGGCCATGGGCGCCGCCACGCGCGGGGCGCACCCCCTCCTGCTGCTGCTGCTGCTGCTCCCCGGTAAGCGCGGGGGCGGGGGCCGAACCGGCGCCCCGAGAGGCGACGCGGGGTCCGAGCGGGGCTGCGGGGCAGCCGGGGGGCGAGGAGGGGGCCGGCCCCGCGCGCACTCCCCGGGGCGCTGCCTCCCCTGCGGGCGGCCTCTGCCCGGCGGGCCCCGCCGCGTGCACCGTTGCCCGTTGACGGGAGAGGCTGGGGCCAGAGGCACCGGCTGGGAGGCTCCCCGGGGGAGGGATTTGGGGGGCGATGGGGGACAAAGCTGGCGCGCCAGCCCCCCTCCTGCCTGCCTTCCCTGCGCCCCGTCCCTCTGCCGGTCACGGAGGAACGGGCACCTGTCGCCAGAAGTCTGTGCCTGGAGGGCCGCTTGTGGGATGGGGAGAGTTTGCGGTGGGGGCGAGGGTTTGGGGGGTCGGGACAGACAGGCGATGTGGCCGTTTGCTCAGAGCCGCCTGGACGCTGAGGCCACCACCGCTCAGAGCGCCTTGCACCCCCTCCCCCAGCTCCTGGGGGGAGGGACGGGAAGGGAGCTGGAAGGATGGCATTTCTATTTTTTTAAAAAATATATATATTTTATTGGTTTTTTACACAGAGGAAGAGAGAGGGATAGAGAGCTAGAAACATCCATGAGAGAGAAACGTGGACCAGCTGCCTCTTACACACCCTCCGCTGGGGATGTGCCCTTGACTGGAATCGAACCTGGGACCCCTCAGTCCACAGGCCGATGCTCTATCCACTGAGTCAAACCGGTTTCAGCAGGATACCATCTCTAGACCTGGAGAAACTGGGACTTCACCAGGGGTCCCCCTCACCTTCCCCCCACCGTCCCCCCCCCCCCCAATTCTAATGCCTGGGGAGGCCCTGACCGGTTTGGCTCAGTGGACAGAGCATCAGGTTGTGGGGGACCAAAGGGTCCTGGTTCAATTCCTGTCAAGGGCACTGTGGATGCATGCCAGAGGCAAACAATCCACTCTCACATCGATGTTTCTTGCTCTCTCTCTCTCTCTCCCTCCCTTCTCTTCCTCTCTCTCTCTCTGAAAATCAATGGGAAAACATCCTGGGATGTAAAGGGGTCCCCAAGGGTTTTGGAGGGCTTGGGGGCTCCGATCAGGATGGGAAGGGGGCCTCCCCAGGAACCCTGGCTCACCCTCTGAGACCCACAGAGCCATGTGTTGGTGCCCAACTTCTATCCTAAGATAGGGTCCCTCGTGGAATGGAGGGGCGCCCCAGGCCTGGGCCGCAGCCTCCCCCTGGGAGGCTGGGAGGCGGCACACCGGTCACCTCCATCCCGGAACCCGATGACAGGGGCTGTACCTGCCCCATAGCAACAGCGAGGAGAAGGGGTGCACCTGGGCCCTGACCCTATGCCTGCACCGGGCTGGGCCCCTGCCAGAAGCCAGTCCCAGCGTGTCATCATTGCGAGAGTTTCATCAAAAGGTGGATGGAACTTGGGGGCTCAAAACAAGGGCTGAGTCACATATGTGGTCACCTGTTGGAGCAGCTAAATGGCACTTCCCCCAAACCTGAATAGGACGGCTGTCTGCTGCCAGACAGCCCAGGGCATCTCCATCTGCACGTTACTGCCCCCTGTTGGCCAGACACCGGAACAGCTGTGGGCCATTCCCCCATCTGACAAGGCTTCTGTAAACCCTGCCCTCCGAAGCCTCTTATCTCCACCTTGCCTTAGGACACATGGTGCTGATAAAAAGCAAGGGGTCCTGAGACCAGGAGAGAGTCTTCAGCTCCTTTAGCAGAAGCTCCTCTGACCCCCCAATGCCTTTCAACATTATCTTTTAGTCTCTTGACTCTTAATCTTCGGACAACCTTTCTCCAGATTGCTGAACCTTTCTTCTGAACCTTTCTTCTTCTTCTTCTTCTTCTTCTTCTTCTTCTTCTTCTTCTTCTTCTTCTTCTTCTTCTTCTTTTTCTTCTTCTTCTCCTCCTCCTCCTCCTCCTCCTCCTCCTCCTCCTCCTCCTCCTCCTTCTTCTTCTTCTTCTTCTTTTTATTGCCGAAACCAGTTTGGCTCAGTGGATAGAGCGTCAGCTTGGGGACTGAAGGGTCCCAGGTTCGATTCTGGTCAAGGTCACGTACCTGGGTTGCAGGCACATCCCCAGTGGGGGGTGTGCGGGAGGCAGCTGATCGATGACTCACTCTCATCGATGTGTCTGGCTCTCTCCCTTCCTCTCTGTAAAAAAATAAATAATATATATATATATATTTATTTATTTTTTTACAGAGAGGAAGGGAGAGAGACAGACAAATCGATGAGAGAGAAACATATATCAGCTGCCTCCCGCACACCCCCCACTGGGGATGTGCCAGCAACCCAGGTCCATGCCCTTGACCGGAATCGAACCTGGGACCCCTCAGTCTGCAGGCCGGCGCTCTACCCACTGAGCCACACTGGTTTCGGCGCTGAACCCTTCATAATGCTTGGACAAGAACCCTGGCAAGCCCCTCCCTCGTCACAGCCCTACGACGACGAGAACACAAGCACAGTCTTTGTTCTCAGGGATAAAGCAGCTGCGGTTCATCAAGGGGAAGCTGCTCGCCTAGGGTCACAGGCTCCCAGGGAGCCGGCCTATCCACACCCACCACCCCGGCTTGCCGGAACGTTCCAGCTCTGGGGGTGCAGCCGAGGAGGCTGTTCCGGGCGGGGCCCCGGGCCAGGGGCTGTGGGTCTGACTGGGCTCCCTCCCTCAGGGGCCCGCGGCTCCGAGGCCGAGCACCGGCTGTTCGACCGGCTGTTCGAGCACTACAACGAGATCATCCGGCCGGTGGCCAACGCCTCGGACGCCGTCATCGTGCAGTTCGAGGTGTCCATGTCCCAGCTGGTGAAGGTGGTGAGTGCGGGGCGCGGGGCTGCGGGGGAGGCTGTCCCCGGGCGGGCGGGGTCCGTCACGCACCCCCCACCCCCAATTCTACCTTTCCAGGATGAGGTCAACCAGATCATGGAGACCAACCTGTGGCTCAAGCAGGTGAGTGGCCAGGCCCTGCGCTCTGCTGCCCCCTGGTGGTGACTGCTCTGCTGGCTTCCTTTCTGTAGACCCAGCCTAGATCCCTTGAGGGGGGGCTGGGGCCCATTGAGGAGGGGCCTGGAGGGGGGGCTGGGGCCCATTGAAGAGGGGCCTGGAGGGGGGTCTGGGGTCATTGAGGGGGGCCTGGGCCCATTGAGGGGGGGCCTGGGCCCATTGAGGGGGGGCCTGGTTGGGGAGCTGGGGTCATTGAGGGGGGCCTGGGCCCATTGAGGGGGGGCCTGGGCCCATTGAGGGGGGGCCTGGAGGGGGGCCTGGGGCCCATTGAGGAGGGGCCTGGAGGGGGGTCTGGGGTCATTGAGGGGGGCCTGGGCCCATTGAGGGGGGGCCTGGAGGGGGGTCTGGGGTCATTGAGGGGGGCCTGGATCCCTTGAGGGGGGGCTGGGGCCCATTGAGGAGGGGCCTGGAGGGGGGTCTGGGGTCATTGAGGGGGGCCTGGGCCCATTGAGGGGGGGCCTGGGCCCATTGAGGGGAGGCCTGGGCCCATTGAGGGGCGGCCTGGGGCCCATTGAGGGGGGGCCTGGGGCCATTGAGGGGCGGCCTGGGCCCATTGAGGGGGGCCTGGGGCCATTGAGGGGGGCCTGGGGCCATTGAGGGGGGCCTGGGGCCCATTGAGGGGGGGCCTGGGCCCATTGGGGGGGCCTGGGGCCCATTGGGGGGGCCTGGGGCCCATTGAGGGGGGGCCTGGGCCCATTGGGGGGGGGCTGGGGCCTATTGAGGGGGGGCTGGGGCCATTGAGGGGGGTCCTGGGGCCCATTGAGGGGGGGCCTGGAGCCATTGAGGGGAGGTCTGGAGGGGGGCCTGGGCCCATTGGGGGGGACCTGGGCCCATTGAGGGGGGTCTGGGTCATTGAGGGGGGCCTGGAGGGGGGTCTGGGGCCATTGAGGGGGGCCTGGGCCCATGGGGGGGGCCTGGGCCCATTGAGGGGGGCCTGGGCTCATTGAGGGGGGCCTGGGGCCATTGGGTGGGGACCTGGGGCCCATTGAGGGGGGCCTGGGCTCATTGAGGGGGGCCTGAGTCCATTGGGGGGGCCTGGGCCCATTGAGGGGAGGCCTGGGGCCCATTGAGGGGGGCCTGGGGCCATTGGGTGGGGACCTGGGGCCCATTGAGGGGGGCCTGGGCCCATTGCGGGGGCCTGAGTCCATTGGGGGGGCCTGGGCCCGCACACCCAGCTGGGACAGATCCGGGCCTGCTCTCCCTGGGTGCTCTGTGCAATGGGCACTCTGTTTGGGGGACCCGGTGGGGAAGGACGTCACTAGCATGAGCTTAGCCCGGCCGGCGTGGCTCAGGGGCTGAGCATTGACCTAGGAACCAGGAGGTCACGGTTCGATTCCCGGTCGGGGCACGGGCCTGGGTGGGGGGCTCCGTCCCCAGTGAGGGGCATGCAGGAGGCAGCCGGTCCATGATCCTCTCTCTCATGGATGTGTCTCTCTCCCTCTCCCTTCCTCCCCGAAATCAATAAAAATCATTGCTAATAAAAGGGTAATATGCAAATTGATCACGATGCCCTCACAGTAACCACCGAACAGCAGGCTGCGTGGGGCGACCAGGCCAGCAGAGGGGAGCAGTGAGGAGCATTTAGGCCAGTGGGGGCAGCAGTTGGGGGCAACCAGGCTGGCGGGAGGGGGCAGTTAGGGGCGATCAGGCAGGTGAGCAGTTAGGAGCCAGTGGTCTCGGATTGTGAGAGGGTCCAGGCTGGGCAGGAGGGACCCCCTCCCCACATGCACCGATTTCATGCACCAGGCCTCTAGTATATTAAAAACAAACAACAACAAAAAACAGCCAAGGCCAGTTTGGCTCAGTGGATAGAGCATCGGCTTGGGGACTGAAAGGTCCCGGGTTCGATTCCGGTCAAGGGCATGGACCTTGGTTGCAGGCACATCCCCAGTGGGGGGTGTGCAGGAGGCAGCCGATCGATGACTCTCTTGCATCAATGTTTCTAACTCTCTATCTCTCTCCCTTCCTCTCTGTACAAAATCAATAAAATATATTAAACACACACACACACACACACACACAAATAAAACAGCACACACGGACCAGACCTGGAGGCCCTTACATCAGTTTCCCAACCTTCTCTCATGATGAGAATCACCTGGTGGAGTTGTTAAAACACAGATTCCCGGATCCCAACTAAGAAGTGCTAAACTAGAATTTTTGGGAACATATAGGTAAAATTGTATACTTAACTAGTGCTCTAAGACAGATTTTATATACAGAGCACTAAGTTAGGTATGCAATTTTACCTATATGTTCTCAAAAATTCTAGTTTAGCACTTCTTAGTTGGGATCCGGGAATCTGTGTTTTAACAACTCCACCAGGTGATTCTCATCATGAGAGAAGGTTGGGAAACACTGCCTTACATGATTGACAGTGGTGGCCCCGCCCACAGCCCAGGGCTCTCGCCCCTGACACCCACGGGTGGCATCGGGTGCGGAGGCGGGGCGGGCGGCGTGAGGGAGTGAGCCGCGCCGTCTCCTTGCCGTTTCCCCCTCTCCCCCCCCCCCACCAGATCTGGAACGACCACAAGCTGAAGTGGAACCCCTCGGACTACGACGGGGCCGAGTTCCTGCGCGTCCCCGCCCAGAAGATCTGGAAGCCGGACATCGTGCTCTACAACAAGTAAGGGGGCGCCGTCCCCCCCTTTCCCCCCCGGCCGCTCCTCCCACGGCCACTCCCTGAGCACCTGCTTGACCAGCATCGAACCCGGGAACCCTTCAGTCCACAGGCTGGCGCTCGGCGCCTGCAAATGCAAAGTAACGGCCCCTCTTTTGTTTCTGTTTTTTGTTTTATTATTATTATTATTATTTTTAAAAAATATATTTTGTTGACTTTGTACAGAGAGGAAGGGAGAGGGATAGAGAGTTAGAAACATCGATGAGAGAGAGTCATCGATCAGCTGCCTCCTGCACACCCGCCACTGGGGATGTGCCCGCAACCAAGGCACATGGCCTTGACCGGAATCGAACCCGGGACCCTTCAGTCCCCAAGCCGACGCCCTATCCATTGAGCCACACCGGTTTCAGCTCGGTCCATCTTTCGTTGGGTTAATGTATTTGCATACTCACTCCTGATTGGCTGATGGGCATCCCAGAGGTACAGTCAATTTGCATATTTCTTTTTTTTTCATTAGCGTAGATACCTTGTTTTGCATATACCTTTTTAAAAATTTATATATTTTTTTATTTAATTTACTTTTTGTTATTTATTCTATTGATTTTTAAAAAAAATATATTTTAATGATTGATTTTTTATACCGAGGAAGGGAGAGAAAGAGGAACAGAGAGCTAGAAAAATCCATGAGAGAGAAACATTGACCAGCTGCCTCCTGCACAGCCCCCACCAGGGATGTGCCCGCAACCAAGGTCCATGCCCTTGACTGGAATGGAACCCAGGACCTTTCAGTCCGTAGGCCGACGCTCTACCCACTGAGCCACACTGGTTTCAGCTGGGCCGACAACATTCACCTCGTTTCTCTCCTTCGAGGGAAAGGGCACTTGGGCTGTCTCATATTACTCTTTTATTAGGTAGGATTTCAGAGAGGAAAGGAGAGAGAAACATCAATGAGGAGAGAGAATCATGGATCAGCTGCCACCTTCATGCCCCACTCCTTGGGGAGGGGGGTGGCGGGGGGGGGACAGGATCGAGATCGCAACGTGTGAGAGAACTCAGGGTATGTGAGAGACGCAGGTTGTGTGATGAGGCTTGATGAGGGTGTCTGATGGTCTGTGTGGTGGATTGTGGGGTAGACGGTCCTGGGCTCCCGTGTCCCCAGTGTCCCTCTTGCTACGTGGCCGGACACCCCGGCCCTCCAAGTTCACGACATGTGTGTGTGTGTGTGTCCCGTGTGTGTGTGTCCCATGTGTGCGTGTCCCGTGTATGTCCGTATGTGTTCATGTGTGTGTGTTCCATGTGTGTCCCGTGTTTGTGTGTCCTGTGTGTGTCCCGTGTGTGTACCGTGTGTGTACCGTGTGTGTTGTGTGTGTGTGCCCCGTGTGTGTATGTCGTGTGTGTCCCGTGTGTGTGTCCCGTGTGTGCGTGTGTATGTCATGTGTGTGTCCCGTGTGTGTCCTGTGTGTGTGTGTCGTGTGTGTGTGTCCTGTGTGTGCGTGTGTCATGTGTGTGTCCCATGCGTGTGTGTGTGTCCCGTGTGTCCCCCCGTGTGTGTGTCCCCCCGTGTGTGTGTCCCCCCGTGTGTGTGTCCCGTGTCTCTGTGTGTCCCATGTGTGTGTCCTGTGCGTGTGTCCCGTGTGTTCATGTGTGTGTCCCGTGTGTGTCCTGTGTGTCCCATGCGTGTACGTGTGTGTGTCCCGTGTGTGCCCCCATGTGTGTCATGTGTGTGTCCCGTGTGTTCATGTGTTTGTCCCGTGTGTGTCCCGTGTGTCCCATGCGTGTATGTGTGTCCCGTGTGTGTGTCCCGTGTGTGTGTCCCGTGTGTGTGTCCCGTGTGTGTCCCGTGTCTGTGTGTGCGTGTGTGTCTCCCCCATGTGTGTGTGCCCCGTGTGTGTGTGTGTCCCCTCTGCAGCGCCGTGGGGGACTTCCAGGTGGACGACAAGACCAAGGCGCTGCTCAAGTACACGGGCGAGGTGACCTGGATCCCGCCCGCCATCTTCAAGAGCTCCTGCCGCATCGACGTGACCTTCTTCCCCTTCGACTACCAGAACTGCTCCATGAAGTTCGGCTCCTGGACCTACGACAAGGCCAAGATCGACCTGGTGCTGGTGGGCTCGGCCATGAACCTGCGGGACTACTGGGAGAGCGGCGAGTGGGCCGTGGTGCGCGCCCCCGGCTACAAGCACGAGGTCAAGTACAACTGCTGCGACGAGATCTACCCCGACATCACCTACTCGCTGTACATCCGGCGGCTGCCCCTCTTCTACACCATCAACCTCATCATCCCCTGCCTGCTCATCTCCTTCCTCACGGTGCTGGTCTTCTACCTGCCGTCCGACTGCGGCGAGAAGGTCACGCTGTGCATCTCGGTGCTGCTCTCGCTCACCGTCTTCCTGCTGGTCATCACCGAGACCATCCCGTCCACCTCGCTGGTCATCCCGCTCATCGGCGAGTACCTGCTCTTCACCATGATCTTCGTCACGCTGTCCATCGTCATCACCGTCTTCGTGCTCAACGTGCACTACCGCACGCCCGCCACGCACACCATGCCCGGCTGGGTGAAGGCCGTGTTCCTGCGGGCGCTGCCCCGGGTCATGTTCATGGCGCGGCCGGAGGCGGCGGGCGGCGCGGGCGGCGCGGGCGGCGCGGGCGGCGGCATCCCGGGGCCGCGGCCGGCCGACTGCGCCGCCCTCGCCCTCGCCGCCCAGCGGGCCGACCCGAACTGCTTCCGCGGCCGCGAGGAGCCCGAGGACGGGAAGGACGGCGCGCCCTGCCCGGAGGGGCCGTGCGGCCGCCACCGCCAGTGCAGCCGCCGCCGCCGCGCCAGCCACCGCGCGGCCAAGGTGCCCAACTTCACCGCCAACCTCACCCGGAGCTCCAGCAGCGAGTCCGTGGAGGCCGCGCTGCCCTCGCTGTCGGCGCTGTCGCCGGAGATCCGGGAGGCCATCCGGAGCGTCCGGTACATCGCGGAGAACATGAAGGCGCAGAACGAGGCCAAAGAGGTGAGGGCGGCGCTCGGCAGACACGCCCGGAGCGGCCGGATGAGGGTGCTCTGTGAACAGCGGAATCATCCGGCCGCTCCGGGTGTGTCCTATAGAATGAAAGGCTCATGTGCACATGGTCCCCTCGACCGGGAGTTCTGCCAGCAGGCAGGCCGGCCAACCGTCCGTGTTCCCTCCCCCTGGCCGGGCTGGCCGGACCCCACCCATGCACCAATGCATGCACCAGAGTGGCCAGATTATTAGGTGTTTGGAGATCATAATAATCTGGCACTTAGTGTATATCCTATAGAATAAAAGGCTCATATGCACATGGTCCCCTCGACCGGGAGTCCGACCAGCAGGCAGGCCGGCCCACCACCCCTGTCCCCTCCCCCTGGCCAGGCTGGCCAGACCCCACCCATGCACAAATTCATGCAGCAGGCCTCACACACACACACACACACACACACACAAACACACACACACATATCCACATACACACACACACACTGAGTGGCCAGATGATGATGATCTCTGAATGCGTAGTAATCAGGCCACTCAGTATCTGTCCTATAGAATAAAAGGCTCATATGCACATGGTCCCCTCGACCGGGAGTTCGACCAGCAGGCAGACCCGCCAACCGCCCATGTCCCCTCCCCCTGGCCAGCCTGGCCGGACCCCACCCATGCACGAATTCATGCACCGGGCCTCTAGTATATATATACAAACACTTAGTGGCCAGACGATGATGATCTCTGAACGCACAGTCATCTGGCCACTCCGTCATATCCTATAGAATAAAAGGCTAATATGCAAATGGTCCCCTCAACCAGGAGTTCAACCAGCAGGCAGGCTGGCCAACCACCCATGTCCCCTCCCCCTGGCCAGGCTGGCTGGCCCTCTGCCTTCCCCTCTCTCTAAAAACCAATGAAAACATATTTTTAAAAATAATTAAAGAGCCCTAGCAGGTTTAGCTCTGTGGATAGAGCATCAGCCTGTGGACTAAAGGGTCCCGGGTTCGATCCTGGTCAAGGGCACATGCCTGGGGTTGCGGGCTCAATCCCCAATAGTGGGCGCATGCAGGGGGCAGCCGACCCATGATTCTCTCTCATCATGGATGTTTTTCCCGCCCTCTCTCCCTTCCTCTTTGAAATCAATCTACCTAATAAAAGAGTAACATGCTAATTGACCGTACCTTTGCGATGCCCACCAGCCAATCAGGAGCGAGTATGCAAATTAACCAAACAAAGATGGCAGGTTAATTTGCATATGCAGGTGCCCAGCAGCCAGGGGCATTCTGTACCACCCAAGCCATTCCAGGCCTCTGGGCAGCGTGGGAAGGTGTAAAGGCGGCCCTAGGCGGTGCCAGCATTCATGGGAAGTAAGGCCCATTCTGGCACAAATCTTCATGCATCAGACCTTTAGTCAAAAATATATATATATATATATATATTTTTTTTAAATATATGTTAATGATTTTTACAGAGAGGAAGGGAGAGGGATAGAGAGCTAGAAACATCGATGAGTGAGAACCATCCATCAGCTGCCTTCTGCACCCCCTCTACCGGGGATGTGCCTGCAACCAAGGCACATGCCCCTGACCGGAATCGAACCCGGGTCCCTTTAGTCCGCAGCCCGATGCTCTATCCACTGAGCCACACCAGTTAGGGTTAGTAAAAATATATTTTAGCTGAAACCGGTGTGGCTCAGTGGATAGAGCGTCGGCCTGCAGACAGAAAGGTCCCGGGTTCAATTCCGGTCAAGGGCATGGACCTTGGTTGCGGGCACATCCCCAGTGGGGGGCGTGCAGGAGGCAGCTGATGGATGTTTTCTCTCATCGATGTTTCTAACTCTCCATCCCTATCCCTTCCTCTCTGTAAAAAAATCAATAAGATATATATTTTAAAAAATGAAATAAATAAAAATAAAAACATATTAAAAAACAACAACAATAAAAGAAAAAAAAAGTCACATATCTTAACCAGACTCTCAGGAGCGGACGGGAGCGGAGCTGGGATGGGAACCGTCCCCGCAGCCCGGGGGGCTGGGCCAGCAGCGCGGGAGGGAGTCCCCGGGTCCGCTCGGTCCCAGATACACACCCAGCTCTCGGGCCCTCGCGTGAAGTCCCTGATGGCGGATGCGGAGTCATTCTGGCCTCACCGGACTCCGCGGTGTCACCAGCCGGGCACCGCGCCTGGCAGCTCGCCGCGGCGAAATAAACCCCGTCTCCCGGCCCCATGGCGGCCCCGAAATGAGATTACCGCGTCCAGGTGGCCTCTCCGTGATGCGATTATTCCTCCCAGATTAGTTGACTCCTGCACTCCCTCTTCTCCCAATTCGATTACGGTTTCCTTCTCTGCAGGGCTGTCTGGGTGCTTAACAGACATACAGCCCCCCCGCCCCCCACCTCGTTCCAGCCTCCGCTGAAGCCATGGTGTACACAAGGGGCCTTTATTTTTATTTTACTGATTTTTTTTTTTTTTACAGAGAGGAACAGAGAGTCAGAAACATCGATGAGAGAGAAACATCCATCAGCTGCCTCCCGCACGCCCCCCACCGGGGATGTGCCCGCAACCCAAGGTCCATGCCTTTGACCGGAATCGAACCCGGGACCCTTCAGTCCGCAGGCCGGCGCTCTATCCACTGAGCCACACTGGCCAGAGACGTCTTCCATCTTTTTTTTTTTTCTTTTTTAATTTATTGATTGATTAAGGTGTTACATATGTGTCCTTGTTCCCTCATTATCCACCCCCCCCCGACCCTCCACTCATGTCTTCCATCTTCTTACTTGATTTTTTATTTTATTTATTTTATTGCCATGCTGTCCTGTGACTGCACGGAATTCCATGATACTTTGAACTTAGGACTGAAGAAGACGGTGTTTGGACATTGGGTATTGCTGGGGCGGGAGGGGTGGGGTGGTGGGCGAGGGAGAGTAGGGGGACGAGGGATTTGCCCTGATCGGCTGATAACTCCCTTTTGGGTGTTAAAAGGAAATTACACCTAAAACTGGGCACGAACAAGTCCTGAGAGAAAAGGGAGATGATGTTGGATTGTATGTGCTGTCCTCACAGAGGCCCGGAATCCTCCACGGAGGCCGAAGTCCGCTGTCTTTACTGACTATAAACTGGAATTGAACATAGAAGACGTAGGTGTGGCTCAGTGTGGCTCAGGGGTTGAGCATCCACCTCTGAACCAGGAGGTCACAGTTCAATTCCTGGTCAGGGCACAGGCCCGGGTTGCGGGTTCGACCCCGTCCAGGAGGAGGCGTGCAGGAGGCAGCCAGTCCATGATTCTCTCTCATCATAGCTGTCTTTCTCTCTCTGTCTTCCTTTCTCTCTGAAATCAATTTAAAAAAAAAAAATCATCTTCTTTTAAATGGAAGGAAAAATAGGTTATGTACACATTGAGAAACGTCTCATTTAAAGAAGATTTAACATGACGGATGTTTTGTACGACTTTTCTGGTGCCTAAAGAGAAACGTGAGAATGGTACACTGCCTCAGACTGCTGGTCAGTGATGCTCTCTCCTCAGGGCTGTTCCTCTCTCTCCTGCTCTCCCTTGCTGTCTGACATCAATACAAATACACACGGAGTGGCCAGATGATGATGACCTCTGAACATAGAATAAATCCGTGCATGGGTGGGGTCCGGCCAGCCCGGCCAGGGGGAGGGGACAGGGGCGGTTGGCCGGCCTGCCTGCTGGTCGAACTCCTGGTCGAGGGGACCATTTGCACATTAGCCTTTTATTCTATAGGATCTACGCCGAGTGGCCAGGTTATTATGCTTCCAGAGAGCATCATCCTCTGGCCTCTCCGGGTATCTATCCTGTGCTCAGGATTTGTATTCACGCCATCTTCTCCGGCGGGCTGTTTATTTTTTTATTTTTTTTCCCCTCTTTTGATGATTATTGTTCTTCTATTTGTTTCAGATTCAGGACGACTGGAAGTACGTGGCCATGGTGATCGACCGCATCTTCCTGTGGGTCTTCGTCCTGGTGTGCATCCTGGGGACGGCGGGGCTGTTCCTGCAGCCGCTGATGGCGCGGGACGAGCCCTGAGCGCGGTGCGCCCGCCCGCCCGGGGGGCGGGGCGAGACGGGAGCTGGGCAGGAGCTCGTTTTTCTACTGAGATAAAACACACGGCGTACACGTCACCATCGTAACCTTCTGACATGCACCGCTCAGCAGCATCCGGCAGCCACGTGGCTGTGCAGCCGCCATCACTCTCAGTCCCCATCACCCTCCCCATCCTGCAGACGGGAACCCAACCCCTTACCCAGCGGCTCCCTGCTCCCCCTCCCCGGCCGCCGCCAACTGCCATTCTGCTTTCTGTTACTTTTCCTTAGTGCATAGATTTTATTGATGTTTACAGAGAAGAGGGGAGAGGGAGAGAGAGAGAGAACCATCGATGAGAAACATCGATCAGCTGCCTCCTGCTCTCCCCCTACTGGGGATGTGCCCGCAACCAAGGTTCATGCCCTTGACCGGAATCGAACCCGGGACCCTTTAGTCCGCAGGCCGACGCTCTATCCACTGAGCCACGCTGATTAGAGCTGCTTTCTTTTCTTTCTTTTGACCCAAAATGTTGAGATTTTGCCCTGGCTGGTTTGACACAGTGGATAGAGTGTTGGCCTGTGGACTCAAGGGTCCCGGGTTCGATTCCGGTCAAGGGCATGGACCTTGGTTGCGGGCACATCCCCAGTAGGGGGTGTGCAGGAGTCAGCTGATGGATGTTTCTCTTCAATCGATGTTTCTAACTCTCTCTCCCTCTCCCTTCCTCTCTGAAATCAATAAAAATACCTTTTTAAAAACTTAAATCATTTGGGAGTCTGGAACGGATTAATTCAACTTACATGATTTCTTTTTTTTTAAATATATTTTATTGATATATTTTACAGAGAAGAAGGGAGAGAGAGTTAGAAACATCCATCAGCTGCCTCCTGCACACCCCCCACTGGGGATGTGCCCACAACCAAGGTACGTGCCTTTGACCGAAATCAAACCTGGGACCCTTCAGTCCACAGACCGACGCTCTACCCACTGAGCCACACCGGTTAGGGCTCAGCTTACATGATTTCTAATCGGGGGTGTGTGTGTGTGTGGGGGGGTGATCCGGTATTCAGACAGCCTTTCGGAGCGCATCAAGGGTGAGACAGGAGGTCCCACTCGCCGGACGTGCCTGACACTCCCGCGGCCGCCGGCCGAGGGAGCGTCATGCGGCTGCCGCGCCGACGTGCACGGGGGCGCCCGCCGCGGCCCACTCGTACACCACCGGGGCGAACATCCCCAGCGAGCCCACCGCCGAGACCAGCAGGAACGCCCAGAGGAGGAGCCGGTCCAGCACCTGGGCGATGAACTGCCAGTCCTCCACCACCTGTGGCCAAAAGAAAAAGGACAGAAAAGAAACGGCTCACATTTGATGCAGAGTGTAACCCTGTCCACGCATGTTAAGGCTAGAGGCCCGGCCGAAGCCGGTGTGGCTCAGCGGATAGAGCGTCAGCCTGCGGACTGGAGGGTCCCGGGTTCGATTCCGGTCAAGGGCATGTGCCTTGGTTGCGGGCACATCCCCATTAGGGGGTGTGCAGGAGGCAGCTGGTGGATGATTCTCTCTCATCGATATTTCTAACTCTCTATCCCTCTCTTCCTCTCTGTAAAAAATCAATAAACTATATTAAAAGAAAGACGAGGCCGGTGCACGAAGAGGTGCGTGCCATAGGCCCTCCTTCCCCTGGGCTTCCGCATTGGTTTTTCTCCCGCACCCGGGACCCAGGCCTTCGCTCCAGCCGGACCCTTCGCCTCCCCCTCACTTCCCCATCCCTCTCATAGCAGGCATCCTGCCCTGCCCAGCCACTCCGCGCCCGGAGCAGCTGGACGGCCTCCATCTTTATCCTCATTTGCATATCCCCTCCTGATTGGCTGGTGAGCATAACAGAGTGATGGTCAATTTGCATGTGGCTCTTTTATTAGATATCATCTGCTGCCATGGCCTGTGTGATTCTGTGGATAGAGCGTTGACTTTCCGACTGAAGGGTCCCGGGTTCGATTCCCAGTCAAGGGCACGTGCCCTGGTTGTGGGCTCAATCCCCAGTAGGGGGCGGGCAGGAGGCAGCCGATCCATGATTTTCTCTCATCATGGATGTTTCTATCTCCCCCTCCTTTTCTCCCTGAAATAAATATATACACTGAGTGGCCAGATGATTATGATTTTTAAACATATAATCATCTGGCCACTTAGTGTGCTTCTCTTGAGCACCTCATTGATTGGATATCAAAGATACTATAGCCGAAACCGGTTTGGCTCAGTGAATAGAGCGTCAGCTTGCAGACTGAAAGGTCCTGGGTTCGATTCTGGTCAAGGGCATGTACCTTGGTTGCGGGCCCATCCCCGGTAGGGGATGTGTAAGAGGCAGCTGATGGATGTTTCTCTCTCATCGATGTTTCTAACTTTCTATCCCTCTCCCTTCCTCTCTGTAAAAAATCAATAAAACATATGAAAGAAAGAAAGAAAGAAAGAAAGAAAGAAAGAAAGAAAGAAAGAAAGCAAGCTCAGGGCAAATAGGTGGCTGATCTCCAGCCAAAGTCTAGAATACTTTTGGGATCCATTTGATACACTGAGTAGCCAGATGATTATGCTTTCAGAGATCATCATCATCTGGCCCCTCAGTGTACATACATATAGATAGATAGGTAGATAGATATTTTTTAAAGATATAATCTGCTGAATTAAGGCCAAAGCAGTTTCTGCTGCCTCAACACTGTATGTCTCCACCCCCCACCTCTGTCCCCCACCCCGTGCTCAGCACTCAGGAACAGATTCTGTGATAAGAGGGACTCAGGCCGAACCCAGTGTGGCTCAGTGGATAGAGCGTTGGTCTGTGGACTGAAGGATCCCAGGTTCGATTCCGGTCAAGGACATGTACCTTGGTTGCGGACACATCCCCAGTGGGGGTTGTGCAGGAGGAGGCTGGTCAATGTATCTCTTTCATCGATGTTTCTAACTCTCTGTCCCTCTCCCTTCCTCTCTGTGAAAAATCAATAAAATATATTAAAAAAAGGAAAAAAAAGAGGGACTCAGGACATGGCCCAATGTCATTCACACATCAACTTGCAATGCTTTACAACTGGCTGGTTTTGATGATATATAATAAAAATTAGAATATTTATTACTATTACTATTTGCCAAAACCGGTTTGGCTCAGTGGATAGAGCATCAGCCTGCAGACTGAAGGGTCCCAGGTTCGATTCCGGTCAAGGGCATGGACCTTGGTTGCGGGCACATCCCTAGCGGGGGGCGTGCTAGAGGCAGCTGATCGATGACTCTCTCTCGTCGATGTTTCTAACTCTCTATCTCCCTTCCTCTCTGTAGGAAATCAATACAATATATATATATTTTTTAAAAAGAATATTTATACTATTTGAATATTTGGTCATAAAACCCCCAAGTATCTTTCATTCCCTTTTTCCTCCCATTAAATATATTTTTATTGATGTCAGAGAGGGAGAGGGAGAGAGAAACGTCCATGATGAGAGAGAGCCATGGGCCGGCTGCCTCCTGCACGCTCCCCACTTGCGATGGAGCCCGCAACCCCGGGCAGGCGCTCTGACCGGGAATCGAACCGTGAGCTCCAGGTTCAAAGGCTGACATTCAACCACTGAGCCACACACCTGGCCTCTTTAATTTTTTTAAAATATATATATTTTATTGATTTTTTTACAGAGAGGAAGGGAGAGGGTTAGACAGAAACATCGATGAGAGAGAATCATCCATCAGCTGCCTCCTGCACACCCCCCACTGGGGATGTGCCCGCAACCAAGGCGCATGCTCCTGACCGGAATCGAACCCGGGACCTTTCAGCCTGAAGACCGATGCTCTATCCACTGAGCCACACCGGTCAGGGCCTCTTTCATTCTTAATATATACAGCAACACCACGTTTTCTTTAAAATCATCTTAGATGCCAGCCAGTGAGCCTCAGGGGTTGAGCGTTGACCTATGAACCAGAAGGTCCGGGCACAGGCCCAGGCTGTAAGCTCGATCCCCAATGGGGAGCACGCGGAGGCGGCCGGCCAATGATTTTCCTCTCATCGCTGATGTTTCTCTCTCTCTCCTTTTCACTTCTTCTTTCTGAAATCAATAAAAACGTATTTACAGCCGAAACCGGTGTGGCTCAATAAAATATATTTTAAAAAATAAAATAAAAACATATTTACAGAAAAATCATCGGAGATGCTGAGGGAGACACAGAGAAGTGGGGCATGTGTGTGTAGACACACCCCACTGGGGATGTGTCCGCAACCAAGGTACATGCCCTTGACCGGAATCAAACCCGGGACCCTTCAGTCCACAGACCAACGCTCTATGCACTGAGCCACACCGGTTTCGGCCAGAAACTATTTTGTTATGTTAACACTAGAGGCCTGTGCACAGATTCGTGCACATGGAAAGGAGATGAATGAGAAGGTGGCTGGAGGGCTGGGTCTGGGCGAGATGGGCCAGACACGCCCTGAGCCCACCTCTCCCAGTCCCTCCCCTGGGACAGATCGGGGCTCGACGGGCATCTGCAGCGTTAGGGGGTCCCTCTGGCAGCTGGGGTCCCTCGGCCTGGCCTGTGCGGATAGGGCCAAAACGGCAGTCGGACATCCCCAGGGATCCCCTAGTGCCAGAGGACACTGAAAAGCTGCTGTCGCTCAGCAGCTCCTGTGTTGAGCACCCGCCCCCTGGTGGTCAGTGTTTGTCATTGCTACCAGCCAGCCCGCTGGTCGCTTAGCCTTCTATATAGAGAGATTTTTTAAAAAATTAATTTCTTTATTGATGAAGGTATCACATATTTGTCCTCAACCCCCAATTCCAATCCCCCAACTCCCCCTCTCATGCCCCCACCCCCCTATTGTCCTGGAACCCTGGTTAGGCTCATATGTGTGCACACAAGTCCTTTGGTTGATCTCTCCCTTTTATCAACATAGATTCATTTTTTATTGATGTCAGAGAGGAAGGGAAAGGGAAAGAGAGCTAGAAACATCCATGATGACAGAGAATCATGATTGGCTGCCTCCCCCATGCTCCTCCCCCCCCACACACACACATACACATACACTGGGGATGGAGCCCGCAACCTAGGTATCTTTCTTCCCTTGACCAGAATCAAACTCAAGACCCATGCCAAAACCAGTGTGCTCAGTGGATAGAGCGTCAGCCTGCGGACCGAAGGGCCCCGGGTTCGATTCCGGTCAAGGGCATGTACATTGGTTGCGGGCACATTCCCGTTGGGGGGTGTGCAGGAGGCATCTGGCTAATGTTTCTCTCTCATCGATGTTTCTAGCTCTCTATCCCTCTCCCTTCCTCTCTGTAAAAAAAAAAAAAAATCAATAAAATACATTAAAAAAAATTTTTTTTAAATAAAGGTGTGGGACTCAGCATGCCAATCTTTAAAAACAAACAAACATCCGAAACCGGTTTGGCTCAGTGGATAGAGCGTCAGCCTGAGGACTGAAAGGCCCCGGGTTCGATTCCAATCAGGGGCCTGTACCTTGGTTGCGGGACATCCCCAGTAGGGGGTGTGCAAGAGGCAGCTGATGGATGATTCTCTCTCATCCATGTTTCTAACTCTCTATCCCTCCCTCTTCCTCTCTGTAAAAAAATCAATAATATATATATATATATATTTTTTTTTAAATAGTCACGATTTAAACAAACAAACAAACAAACAAACGAAAAACCCAGGACCCTTCCGTCTGCAGGCCGGCGCTCTACCCACTGAGCCACACCGGCCAGCGGGGCCAGAACAGATTCTGCAAAGACCTTCACGATGGATGCGCATCCACACGTCCAGCCCCTGCCCTGCTGTGCTGCTTGGCTCAAGGAGGGGGCCGTGACCCGCCCGTGGGACAGCCCCCCACCCCCACTCCCATCCCCACCCCTACCCCCCCCACCCCCACCCCCACCTTCCCCCCACCCCCCCGACCCCAGCACAGACCTCTCGGACCGCGTTCTCCTTCACCACGAGCCCCGCGATGTAGCGGACGGCGTCCAGCGCGGCTCCCAGCGGGTCCCGGGCGGGCGCGGGGCGGCCCCGGGCCCGCTGCTCCCGCCCGCGGGCCCCGGCGGAGTAGCGGTCGGCGTGGCCCCGCATGCACAGCAGCCGGGGCAGCCGCCGCAGGAACAGCCGGCGCACCCAGGGCGCCATGGCCCGGTGCGTGGCGGGCCCGCGGTGGTGCACGTTGGCGGCGCAGACGGTGGCGGCGATGGACAGCGCGGCGAAGATCATGGTGAGCACCAGGGCCTCGCCCACCAGCGGGATGACCTCGGAGGACGACGGCACGATCTCCTCGATGAGCAGCAGGAAGACGGTGAGCGCCACGAGCACGGAGGTGCAGAGGGACACCTTCTCGCCGGCGCGGGCCGGCAGGTAGAAGACCAGGGCGGTGAGCAGCGACAGGCCGGCGCAGGGCACGAGCAGGAAGAGCGTGTAGAAGAGCGGCAGGCGCCGCAGCACCAGCGCGTAGGTGACGTGCGGGTAGCAGCGCCCGCCGGCCGTGCGGTTGGCGCGGCGGCCCGCGGCGCTCAGGAGCTCCCACTCGCCGTTGTCCAGGAAGCCCCGGCGGTCGGCGTCCCGCGCCGCCAGCAGCAGCTCCACCTGGGAGCCGTCGTAGGTCCAGGAGCCGAAGCGCAGGGAGCAGTTCTGGCGGTCGAACGGGAAGAAGGTCACGTCGATGGTGCAGGAGCTCTTGAAGCTGGCCGGCGGCGCCCAGGCCACCGTGCCGTCGAACCGCACCACCGCCTTCGTGCGGGCCCCTTCGAACTGCCCGTCGGCGCTGAAACACACACACACACAGACACACACACAGACACACGCATGTGCCGAAGCCGGTGTGGCTCAGTGGATAGAGCGTGGGTCTGCGGGCTGAAGGGTCCCAGGTTCAATTCTGGGCAAGGGCATGGTTGCGGGCACATCCCGAGGGGGGGGGGGAGGGGCCGTGCAGGAGGCAGCTAGTCGATGATTCTCTCTCCTCATGGATGTTTCTGTCTTTCCCTCCCTCACCCTTCCTCTCTGCGATAAAATATTATATAGCCGAAACCAGTTTGGCTCAGAGGATAGAGCGTCGGCCTGCGGACTGAAAGATCTTGACTTCAATTCCGGTCAAGGGCATGAACCTTGGTTTTGGGTACATCCCCAGTAGGGGGGTGGCAAGAGGCAGCTGATTGATGTTTCTCTCTCTTCGATGTTTCTGACTTTCTATCCCTCTCTTTTCCTCGGTAAAACATTAAATATTAGCCTGCTCTATTTGGTAGGACATTTTTAAAAAATATATATTTTATTGATTTTTTTATAGAGAGGAAGGGAGAGGGAGAGAGAGCTAGAAACATCGATGAGAGAAAAACGTCCAAAAGCTGCCTCCTGCACGCCCCCTATTGGGGATGTGCCCGCAGCCAACATACATGCACTTGACTGGAATCGAACCTGGGACCTTCCAGTCTTCAGGCCGAAGCTCTATCCACTGAGCCAAACTTGTTAGGGCCAGACATTTTTTTTTAATATATATTTTTTATCGATTTAAGGGAGGAAAGGAGAGGAGAGAGAGAGAAATATCAATGATGAGAGGGAATCATGGACTGTCTGCCTGCTGCACGTTGGACCGAGCCTACAACCCAGGCATGTGCCCTTGACCGGAATCGAACTTGGGACCCTTTGGTCCACAGGCTGACGCTCCATCCATTGAGCAACACCGGTCAGGGCTGGTCGAACATTTAATTAACTCACCCTCCTGTCTTGGCTGGGCCAACCATCCCCCTCCCCTGCTCCAGGTGCTGGACCGTGGGACTGACCATTAGCAACCCTCCGACTTCCTCACACCTTCCTGACCTTCCCCAATAAGTCACTGCCAGGATTCTTGTTCTGGCATTAAGAAGGGTTCAGCAGCCGAAACCGGTTTAGCTCAGTGGATAGAGCGTCAGTCTGCGGACTGAAGGGTCCCGGGTTCGATTCCCGTCAAGGGCATGTACCTGGGTTGCGGGCACATCCCCAGTGGGGGGCGTGCAAGAGGCAGCTGGTTGATGTTTCTCTCTCATCGACGTTTCTAGCTCTCTATCTCTCTCCCTTCCTCTCTGTAAAAAATCAATAAAATGTATTTAAAAAAAAAAAGAAAAGAAAAGAAGCCGAAACCAGTTTGGCTCAGTGGATAGGGCGTCGGCCTGCGGACTGAAAGGTCCCGGGTTCGATTCTGGTCAAGGGCATGGACCTTGGTTGCGGGCACATCCCCGGTGGGGGGCGTGCAGGAGGCAGCTGATCAATGATTCTCTCTCATCGATGTTTCTAACTCTCTATCCCTCTCTCTTCCTCTCTGTAAAAAAATCAATAAAATGTATTTAAAAAAAGAAGAAAAAGAAGAAGAAGGGTTCAGCAATCTGGAGAAAGGCTGTGTGCAACTTAAGAGTCCAGAGACAAAAGATGGTTTTGAAAGCCATTGGGGGTCAGAGGAGCTTCTGCTAAAGGAGCTGAAGATTCTCTCCTTGTCTCAGGACCCCTTGCTTTTTATTAACACAATGTGTCCTAAGGCAAGGTGGAGATAAGAGGCTTCAGAGGGTAGAGTTTCCTACAGAATCCATTGTAAGATTAGGGAATTGCCTTCAGCTGTTCCAGTGTGTGGCCAACAGGGGGCAGTAACATGTAGATGGAGAAGCCCTGAGCTGTCTGGCAGCAAACAGCCATCCTATTCAGGTTTGGGGGAAGTGCCGTTCAGCCGCTCCGACAGATGGCCACATATGTGACTCGGCCCTTGTTGAGCCCCATCAACCTTTTGATAAAACTCCTGCAATTGTGACGTGCTGGAACTGGCGATCTGCATGTCACTAATGTCATACATCAAAGAACACTTGTGCGATCAAAAAACAGCACGCACATGCACACGTGCACACGCAAAAGGAGGCGACCCACGGAACCGATCTGAAGCCAAAGAACGTGCAATCAGGTCACGCGACGGGACAGCCACACACGTCGCAGAAGGAAGGAGACGGCCCTGATCCGTGTGGCTCAGTGGATAAAGCGTCAGCCTGTGGACTGAAGGGTCCCAGGTTCAATTCCGGTCAGGAGCATATACCTTGATTGCGGGCACATCCCCAGTGGGGGGTGTGCAAGAGGCAGCTGATGGATGATTCTCTCTCATTAATGTTTCTAACTCTCCCTCTCCCTTCCTCTCTGTAAAACATCATTAAAATATATATATATATATATATTTTTTTTTTTTAAAGAAGAAGGAAGGAGACAGATGTTCCTTGTGTCCAATCACAAGGCCAGTGTTCGCTTTGGACACGCACCACGGAAGCTGGACTGCGACTTACTTATCGAACAGGACGATGTCTGGGGTCCAGAGCAAGTCTGACGGGACCCGTATGGCCTGGATCCCCCCGTAGTCCTCGGGGTTCCACTGGAGCTTCACGTCTCTCCACTCCTTTGGAACAAAGAAAACAGCATCGATTTCTTTTCTTTTCTTTTTTTCTTTTTTATAAGGTGGCTTTTCTTTCTTTTTAAAAAAAATATATTGTAGCTGAAACCGGTGTGGCTCAGTGGATAGAGCGTCAGCCTGTGGACCGAAAGGTCCCGGGTTCGATTCCGGTCAGGGGCGTGGACCTTGGTTGCGGGCACATCCCCGGTTGGGGGTGTGCAGGAGGCAGCTGATTGGGCGCCGGGCACTCCCATTCCGGGCGAGGCCGGGCGCCCTGGTCGTCGGGACCCAGGCCCGGAGCCGAGCCGCCTCTGGCGCTTCGCTCAGCGCTGGCCCTGGGGCGTCCCTCCCGGTGGCCCCGGCCGCCAGGCCTCCGCTAGCCCGCTGCGCCCTGCCGCCTGCGGCCGCGCGGAGGGAGAGGGGCGGCGGGTCCGCTGAGCCGCAGCCCGGACCCGCGCAGCCCGGACCCGCGCAGCCCGGACCCGCGCAGCCCGGACCCGCGCAGCCCGGACCCGCGCAGCCCGGACCCGCGCAGCCCGGACCCGCGCAGCCGGGACGGTAATGGTCAGGCTACCGGGGCGGTGAGCAATGGGTACAGCTGCTGGTGCGCGGGCCGGCTGGGTCAGTGACATGCCACCCACCTGCCAGGTAAATCTGAATGGGATGGGTGGGTTTTTACCAATGCCGGCACTCTGGTGTGCCGTAGTTTTGCCAAAGGTAGTATTGGGAGCCCCAGCCAGGTGGCTCAGTTGGTTAGAGCAGCGTTTTTCAACCGCTGTTCCGCGGCACAGATGTTGCCTGGTGTGCCGTAGGTGCAGACAAGACAAGAATTTTATAATTTTCCACTATTTTGTTTACTTAATATTTCATAATAAAGTAATTATAAAATACTTTCTTTGTGTTTATTTGATTCCTATTCAAGAGAATTACTTTATATATAGTCAATATAGGCACAGAGTTAAATTTTTTAACATTTTCTGATGGTGGTGTGCCTCGTGATTTTTTTCATGAAACAAGTGTGCCTTTGCCCAAAAAAGGTTGAAAAACACTGGGTTAGAGCATCGTCCTGTACCCCAAAAGGGTTGCGTGTTCGACTCCGCTCGGGGGCGTGTAGGGGAGGCAACCCATCCATGATTTTCTCCTTCCCCCTCCTCCCTCCAAAATCAATAAAAACATATCCTTCAAAAAAAAAAAAAAAAGAGGCAGTTGATTGATGAATCTCTCTCATCGATGTTTCTAGCTCTCTATTCCTCTCTCTTCCTCTCTGTAAAAATCAATAAAAAATAATTTAAAAAAAAAAAATATATATATATATATATTGCATTGGTTTTTTTACAGAGAGGGAGAGAGATAGGGGTCTAGTAATAATTAATGCCGTTTTTAAACATTCGTTTAAAATCTTGCTTGGCGTTGACTTGTATTGACATAACCTTCAAACACGTGGTATCTACAGAACGTGTGAAGTGCAATGAACAAGTTTTGCTTGAAAAAGTTTGTGTTTGGTTTGGTTTTTGTTGCAAAACTAGGGCTAAGAAGATGGCGGATGAAGAGCATATTCGGCACTGCATGCTTTACGAGTTCCAATTAGGAAGAAAAGCAAGTGAGGCTGCAAAAAACATCTGTAGTGCTCTTGGTCAAGATGCAGTTAGCGCCAGAAAATGCCAGCGTTGGTTTGAGAAATTTCGCGAGGGAAATTTTTCGTTAGATGACAAGAGTGGTTGAGGCCGTGTGACCAATTTTGATCAAGAAGCTCTTCAAGCTATTTTGGTGCAAAATCCTCAAATTACCCAACAAGAGCTTGCAAAAACTTTAAATTGTTCACAAAAAACAATTTCCAATCAATTGCGTGCACTTGGCAAAGTCCAAAAGTTTGGAAAATGGGTTCCTCATGAGTTGACCGACAACAACCGTAATCAAAGAGTCACAATTTGCAGTTCGCTCCTCTCTCATCAAAACTGTTTGCCGTTTTTAGAGCAAATTGTTACCGGAGATGAAGAATGGGTGCTGTATGTTAATCTGAAAAGGCAGCCTCAATGGTTGGACAAAAATGAGGCTCCGCAGCCCACGCCAAAACCTGACTTGCATGCGAAAAAAGTGATGTTGTGTGTTTGGAGGAATTTTAAAGGAATTCTTCATTATGAACTTTTACCATCTACCCAAACCATTACAAGTGCAGTGTATAGTGCCCAATTGGAAAGGTTAGCCCAAGCTTTAAGAGAAAAAGAACCCGCGCTGATTAATCGGAAGGGCGTAATTCTTCACCACGATAACGCACGACCGCATACTGTAAGAATCACTGCTGAAAAACTGCGCCAGTTGGAATGGGAAGTTCTCCCTCAACCTGCATATTCTCCTGATATTGCCCCTTCCGATTACCATTTGTTTCGTTCTTTGCAAAACTTTCTTCTTGGAAAAAAATTTAATAATGAAGAATGCCTCCAAAATGCACTGACCGAATTTTTTGCATCAAAATCACAAGAATTTTACAACAGAGGGATTAAAATGCTTCCTGAGCGTTGGGCACAAGTAGTAGAAAACAACGGCAACTATATTGTTGATTAAATTTTGTTGTATTGTTTAAATAAATTCGATTTTAAAAAAAGTATTAGAAAACGACATTAATTAATACTAGACCTAATATTAGAAAACGACATTAATTATTACTAGACCTAATAGAAACATCGATGAGAGTCATCGACCAGCTGCCTCCTGCATAACCCCCACCGGGGATGTGCCCGCAACCAAGGTCCATGCCCTTGACCGGAATCGAACCCGGGACCTTTCAGTCCGCAGGCCGACGCTCTACCCACTGAGCCAGCCCGGTTTCGGCACGGCGTCGATTTCGACGGACTTCATCCTCAAAGGGACCGAACACGGTCAGACAGGAGACCTTGTCCGCTCCCGACAGAGAGCGCGCCGGCCACTGGGCCGCCCTGTCCCTGCGGCCGCCGCGGCTCTGAGCGGGGGTCCTGTGGGACAGGGAGCGCCAGGCTGTGTGTGCGCTCCCGGGTCTGCTGGGCGCCCCTTCTCCGACCAGGAGCCGGGCCCAGGAGGTGCGGCCTCGGGCATCTAGGGTCCGGGTTCCAGGGAACATCCCTTTTCGAGCTGTGTGGATGCTCCACGCAAAGCGCAGCTGGACGGACTCCACACTGCACATACGTGAACACACATTCCACATACGTGAACACACATTTCAACCCCCACGCCGGAACGACGCCGGGACCGTGTCAAATCAAGACTCCCAAGGAAATCACTCGTGCCTTTTGGGAGTTAAGGGTTGGGGAAGTGGTGGTTGGTATTAAAAAGTAGGGACACTGGGCCGTAACCGGTGTGGCTCAATGGGTAGAGTGTCGGCCTGCGGACTGAAGGGTTCGATTCCGGTCAAGGGCATGGACCTTGGTTGCAGGCACATCCCCAGTGGAGGGGTGTGCAAGAGCCAGCTGATGGATGATTCTCTCTCATCGATGTTTCTAACTCTCTGTCCCTCTTTCTTCCTCTTTGTAAAATATAAATAAAATATTTTTAAAAATAATAATACTAAAATAAAATAAAAAGATAAATAAATAAATTAATTGATTAATTTAAAAAATAATAATAATAATACTGCCGAAACCGGTTTGGCTCAGTGGATAGAGCATCGGTCTGCTGACTGAAGGGTCCCGGGTTCGATACCAGTCAAGGGCATGTATCTTGGTTGCCGGCATATCCCCAGTAGGGGGTGTGCAAGAGGCAGCTGATCGATGACTCTCTCTCATCAATGTTTCTTTTCTTTTCTTTTCTTTTTTTAAAAAATATATTTTATTGATTTTATACAGAGAGGAAGGGAGAGAGATAGAGAGTTAGGAACATGGATGAGAGAGAGTCATCGATCAGCTGCCTCTTGCACACCCCCTACTGGGGATATGCCCGCAACCAAGATACATGCCCTTGACCGAAATCGAACCCGGGACCCTTCAGTCCCTAAGCCGACGCTCTATCCATTGAGCCAAACCGGTCCCGGCATCATTGATGTTTCTAACTCTCTCTCTCTCCCTTCCTCTCTGTAAAAAATCAATAAAATATATCATATATATATATATATATATATATATATATATATATATATATATATATCTTTTTTTTTCTTAACTTTAGACAATAAAAAAAAAAAATTAGGGACTGCCTGGCCGGCGTGGCTCAGTAGTTGAGCATCAAGCTATGAATCAGGAGGTCAGTGTTCAATTCCGGGTCAGGGCACAGGCCCGGGTTGTGGGCTCAATTCCCAGGAGGGGGCCTGCAGGGGGCAGCCAGTCCATGATTCTCTCTCATCATGGATGCTTCTATATATCTCTCTCCTTCTCCCTTCCTCTCTCTCCCTCTCTCTCTCTCTCAAAAGCAATAAAAACATATTTTAAAAATAAAAAAAAATAAAGCCCTAGCTGGTGTGGCTCAGTGGATGGAGCCTCGGCCTGCGGAATGAAGGGTCCCAGGTTCGATTCCGGTCAAGGGCATGGACCTCAACTGCAGGCTCCCCTCCCTGGATGGGGAGCATGCAGGAGGCAACCCATCAATGTGTCTCTCTCACATCCGTGTTTCTCTCTGTCTCTCCCTCTTCCTTCCATTCTCTCTGAAAGTCAATGGAAAAAATAGTCTCAGGTGAAGATGAACACAAATAAATAAATAGGTCCTGACCAGTGTGGCTCAGTGGATAGAGCATCGGCCTGCAGACTTAATGGTCCCAGGTTTGATTCCCGCCAAGGGCTTGTACCCTGGTTACATGCACATCCCCAGTAGGGGGCGTGCAGGGGGCAGCTGATGGAAGTTTCTAACTCTCTATCCCTCTCCCTTCCTCTCTGTAAAAATCAATTATATATATATATATATATATATATATATATATATATATATATATATACACACACACACACACACACACACACACACACACAACACCCCTATCCTATTTCCTAGCACATTTTTTTAAATATATATATATATATATATATTTTAATATATTTTATTGATTTCTTACAGAGAGGAAGGGAGAGGGATAGAAAGCTAGAAACATCGATGAGAGAGACACATCGACTAGCCACCTCCTGCACACCCCCTACTGGGGATGTGCCCGCAACCAAGGTCCATGCCCTTGACCAGAATCGAACCTGGGACCCTTCAGTCTGCAGACCGATGCTCTATCCACTGAGCCACACCGGTTTCGGCTTCCAGCACATTTTCCCCAAGCTGATCAGTGTTGCTCACGGCTGCTCCCCAGTGCCTGCCACTCAGGTCACACCAGCCGAGTAAACACCAGACCTCCACCTGCCTGGCCTGCCCGCCTCCCACCAGCGCACCAGCCCGCCCGCCCTCACACCCTCCGTGCCTCACGCCCGGTACTCACCGGGTCGCAGGTCGCCAGGGGAGCGGCCTTTCACACTTGATACGTACCTGCTTTAACCAGACATTCGTGGTCATCAGCTGATTTTTCTCGTCCTGAAAAACAAAGATTTAAATAAGACCAGTGGGCCCTGACCGGTGTGGCTCAGTGGACAGAGCGGCTGCCTGGGGGCTGAAGGGTCCCGGGTTCAATTCCCATCAAGGGCACAGGCCTGGGTTGGAGGGCCCATCACCAGTCGGCAGGGGCGTGCAAGAGGCAGCCGATCCATGACTCTCTCTCATCATGGATGTTTCTCTCTCTCTCCCTCTCCCTTCCTCTCTGACATCAATAAAAATACATTTAAAAAATTAAAAAATATTAAATAAGGCAGATAGTTCCGATTCCAGACAGGACGGTTCTTTATAATTCTTTTTTTAAAAAATATATTTTCTTGATTTTGTACAGAGAGGAAGGGAGAGGGATAGAGAGCTAGAATCACCGATGAGAGAGAGTCATCCATCAGCTGCCTCTTGCACACCCCCCACTGGGGATATGCCCGCAACCAAGATACATGCCCTTGACCGGAATCGAACCCGGGTCCCTTCAGTCCCCAAGCTGACGCTCTATCCACTGAGCCACACTGGTTTCGGCAGGACGATTCTTTAAATACAAGTCCTCTCATCTTATGCCAACGCTCCTCCCCGGTAGGTCCACGTTCTGTTCCTCTGCCCTTTTTCCAGCCTCGTTTCACATGATTCCACGCAACACACTCTGCACTTCCGATACTCTGCCCTCACGTTCACCGTTGGCATTTTTATATTATTTTATTTTAATTTTTTTTAAATATAGTTTATTGATTTTTTACAGAGAAAGGGACAAGGATAGAGAGTTAGAAACATCGACCAGCTGCCTCCTGCACAATCCCCACTGGGGATGTGCCCGCAACCAAAGCACATGCCCTTGCCCGGAACCCGGGACCTTTCAGTCCGCAGGCCGACGCTCTATCCACTGAGCCACACCGCTTTTGGCACCATCGGTATTTTTAGATGTAACATTCGTCGTCTCAGCCAGCACATTTCCTCAGATCTAAGATACAACCGAAGAAGTAAGTCCCAACTTTATGTACTCGGCGCTGAGAGAGAGTACGGGCCCTGGCCGGTGTGGCTCAGTGGATAGAGCGTCGGTCTGCGGTATGAAGGGTCCCGGGTTCGATTCCCAGTCAGGGGCATGTGCCTTGGTTGCGGGCACATCCCCAGTGGGGAGTGTGCGGGAGGCGGCTGGTCGATGTTCCTCTCTCATCGATGTTTCTGGCTCTCTATCCCTCTCTTTTCCTCTCTGTAAAAAAATCAATAAAATATATTTTAAAAAATTTTAAAAATAAAAATAAAAACAAAAGCAGCCAAAACCGGTTTGGCTCAGTGGATGGAGCATCAGCCTAAGGACTGTGGGGTCCCGGGTTCGATTCCGGTCAGGGGCGTGTGCCTTGGTTGCGGGCACATCCCCAGTGGGGGTGTGCAGGAGGCAGCTGATGGATGTTTGTAACTTTCTATCTGTCTCCCTTCTTCTCTGTGAGAAGTCAGTAAAATATATTTTAAAAAAGCAAAAAAAATAAAAATTAAAATTAAAAAATTAAAAAAAAAACACAACACAGTAAGAGCAGAGAAGTAGAAGTGGTCCGAACAGCAGGCGAGAGGACAGAAGGATAAATAGCTTAGCGGACGGAGGGCACCCATGCTCGGGCTCATCTAAGAAGGGAGAATGGCCGAAACCAGTGTGGCTCAGTGGATAGAGCATCGGTCTGCGGACTCAAGGGTCCCAGGTTCGATTCCGGTCAAGGGCGTGTACCATGGTTGCGGGCACATCCCCGGTGGGGGGTGTGCAGTAGGCAGCTGATGGATGTTTCTCTCTCACTGATGTTTCTGACTCTCTATCCCTCTCTCTTCCTCTCTGTAAAATATCAATAGAATAATAAGATATATTAAATTAAAAGAAAAAAAAAGAAAAGAAAGAAGGGAGAATGGCCTGGAAGGAAGGAGGAGGCCCCAAGGGAGCAGGTCCCGGAGGCAGAGGCGGCTGGAGGGGTGGTCCTCGCCCCGGAAGGGGGAGCCCGGGGGCAGACCGCCTGGCCAGGTCCCTCGTACCACGGCCCCGGACAGCCATTCCCATCGCTCGGGCGGGTGAGGCCGGGTCCGGGGGCCGCACACCTACCACGTCCACCAGCTGGGAGATGGCGAGGCCAAACGTGATGCTGATCCTGTCGCTGAGGTGCTCCACAGGCCGCACCCACCGCTCGTAGTCCTGAAACAGGTCCCGGAGCAGGCCGTCCTCGTGTTTGGCCAAGGGGAACGGTTCGGCCAGCCCTGCGACGTGACACAGATGCTCCACGGTTAGCCTGCCGGCTTCTCTCCGACCAAATCCTTCTACTTCACACACACACACACACACACACACACACACACACACACACCTGCCGGCTTCTCTCCGACCAAATCCTTCTACTTCACACACACACACACACACACACACACACACACACACACGCTGGCCGGTGTGGCTCAGTGGATAGCGCGCCGGCCTGCGGACTGAAGGGTCCCGGGTTCGATTCCGGTCAAGGGCATGGACCTTGGTTGCGGGCACATCCCGGGTGGGGGGTGTGCAGGAGGCAGCTGATCGATGATTCTCTCTCATCGATGTTTCTAACTTTCTATCCCTCTCTCTTCATCTCTGTGAAAATCAATAAAATATATTAAAAAAAAAAAATACAGACGTCTGAGATCCATGAGGACCACTCTGCTCAGAGACATTTCTTAGTCAATCAGATTACTCACTCGGGAACGTACTGAGTTCCTTGAGAAGCACTCACCGCAATACAGAGGCACTTAGACTCTAAGGACAGCCCGGCCGGCGTGGCTCAGTGGATAGAGCGTCAGCCTGGGGGCTGAAGGGTCCCGGGTTCGAGTCCCGGTCAGGACACGTGCCTGGTTCGCAGGCCCCATCCCCGGTAGAGGGCGTGCGTGGGGGCAGCCGATCCGTGATGCTCTCTCATCGTGAATGTTTCTACCTCTTTCTCCCTCTCCCGTCTTCTTTCCGAAATCAATCCTACATAATAAAAGGCTAATATGCAAATCGACCGAATAGCGGAACAACCGGTCGCTATGACGGGCACTGACCACCAGGGGGCAGACGCTCAACACAGGAGCTGCTCCCTGGGGGTCACAGCTCCCACAGGGGGAGCGTGGCTCAGCCGGCTCACAGCCGCTGAGCTCAGCGGAGGTGGCGGAGCCGTCTTGCCTCCGCTGCCGGCTGGCGGTAAGGAGGGAGGGGTCCCGGACTGAGAGGGATGTCTGACTGCCAGCTTAGGATCCGTGTTCTTTCATCATTGATGTTTCTCTCTCTCTCCCTCTCCCTTCCTCTGAAATCAATTATATATATATAAAAATATATATATATATATACACACACACAAATACACACACACTAGAGGCCCAGTGCACGAAATTCATGCAAGGTGCCCAGCCCCTGCAGCCATGGAGTCTTGCCTGGGCCCTCACAGGCCTTGCTTTGTCCAGAAGGTCATCCGAAAGGACTCTGGAAGGTCATTCAGCTGTCCGGTCTAATTAGCATATTACACTTCTATTATTATAGATTTTTTTAATTGATTTTTTTTACAGAGAGGAAGGGATAGAGATAGAGAGTTAGAAACATTGATGAGAGAGAAACATCCATCAGCTGCCTTCACAGCTCCTATTGGGAATGTGCCCACAACCAATGTACATGCCCTTGACTGGAATCGAACCCGGGACTTCTCAGTCCGGAGGCCAACACTCTATCAACTGGGCCAAACCAGTTAGGGCTATTATAGATTTAAAAAATATATATATATATATTATTTATTTTTTACAGAGAGGAAGGGAGAGAGATAGTTAGGAACATCGATGAGAGAGAGTCATCCATCAGCTGCCTCCTGCACGCCCCCCACTGGGGATGTGCCCGCAACCAAGGCACATGCCCTTGACCGGAATCGAACCCGGGACCCTTCAGCCCGCAGGCCGACGCTCTATCCACTGAGCCAAACCTGTTAGTGCAATAACTAGATAGATAGATAGATAGATAGATAGATAGATAGATAGATATAGATACATATAGATATATATATAGATATATATATACACATATATTTTTTTTTAAGTCTTTAAGACGTTCTGGGACTTGCTCCCCTCCACCCCCAATTCAGTACTGGATGTCGGTACATCTCTAGCCACCGCCAGTCTCTCTTCACAAGTGGTAAGGGGGTCGGGGTTATGGTGTGTTGTCATCTACATAAGCTTTCCCCGCCGAAGGGCATGTCTGTGGTCCTCGGCTTGGGGTTCTTGCTGACGACGCCACGGAGGGAAAATGCTGTGGTTAACATCCTGTGCGTCTTTCCCCCCCACTTACAGGAGAATTTATGGCGGCGACTTTTAGAACCGCTGAGTCAGGGCACGCATGTTTTCAATCCTGCTCGCTGCTGCCAATGTGTGCCCTTTGGTCTGCGCCCGCCGTCACAAGAATAAAATAAGGTAATATATCTGAAATCTTCGTAAGAGGTTTTTCCATAAGGCAGGCATTCCCCTCAATGTCTCCTTGGGAGATATATATATATAATTTTTACAGAGAGGAAGGGAGAGGGACAGAGAGTTAGAAACATTGATGAGCGGAAACCGGTGTGGCTCAGTGGATAGAGCGTCAGCCTGCAGACTGAAAGGTCCCGGGTTCGATTCCAGTCAAGGGCCTGGACCTTGGTTGCGGGCACATCCTCAGTGGGGGGCGTGCAGGAGGCAGCTGATGGATGTTTCTCTCTCATCGGTGTTTCTAACTCTCTATCTCTCTCCCTTCCTCTTTGTAAAAAAAAAAAAAAAATCAATAAAATATTTTTTTTAAAAAAGAAACATTGATGAGAGAGAAACATCCACCAGCTGCCTCCTGCACACCCCCTAGTGTCCCCAGTGCATGTAACCAAGGTACATGCCGTTGATGGGAATCGAAACCGGGATCCTTCAGTCCGCAGGCCGACGCTCTATCCACTGAACCACACCGGTTAGGGCTGGACTTTTTTTTTTTAAGTTAACAGAAAGTGACATAACCCTTAAGAAAAAAAAAAATCCTTTCGTAACAGTCCCAGGAAGGCTATTTTAAGCGACGGCGAGAGAACACAGCGGTGAGCATAATTGGCCGTTTTGTCAATGAGGAGAAAGGTGTGTTGTCGCCAACACTTTCAATGTGACAAATGGGTACTTATCAGTCTCTATTTTAGGTATTACAGGTGAAATGCGGGGGGGGGGGTGGTATTTCCATCCTGGGATTTTCATTATACACGGAGTGGCCAGATGATGAGGATGATCTCTGAACGCATAATCATCTGGCCACTCGGTGTCTGTCCTATAGGATAAAAGGCTCATATGCACATGGTCCCCTCGACCGGGAGTCCGACCAGCAGGCAGGCAGGCCCACCGCTCACGTCCCCTCCTCCTGGCCAGGCTGGCCGGCCCCCACCCATGCACGATAATCTGGCCAATCAGTGTGTGTGTGTGTGTGTGTGTGTGTGTGTGTGTAGATCACATGTGTCAAACACAAGGCCCGCGGGCCAAATCCGTCCCGCCAGGCCTTGCAATGTGGCCCGCCCCGCGCTGTCATCACTGCACTCCGCTGCGTTTCCATCACAATGACAGTTTATGACTGTTCAGTAAACCATTCGGCCCGCGATTTAGGCTGGATTTTAGATTTTGGCCCCTTCTCTGATTGAGTTCGACACCCCTAGTCTAAAGGCCTCGAGGAAGCGAGGCAGGAGGGGGCTCCGCTTTCCAAGATGGAGGCTCACAGACCCGGCCCCGAGGCTCCGGGAGGGGCACCCAAAGGTCAAAAGGTCACGGGTTCAGCTCCAGGTCAAGGGCAGGTACCTGGGCTGTAAAGACAGCCCATCCATCTCTCTCTCTCTCTCTCTCTCTCTCTCTCCCCCCCCATCCCTTCCACTCTCTTTTAAAGAAAAAAAATATCAATGGGAAAAATACCCTCAGGTGAGAGTTAACAAAAAATAAATAAAAATAAATAAATAAACAAACATGCTCGGGTGAAGATTTAAAAGTAAACACACTATTTTATTTTTTAAATATATTTTTATGGATTTTAGAGAGGAAGGGAGAGGGAGAGAGAAATAGAAACATCAATGATGAGAGAGAATCATTGATTGGCTGCCTCCTGCACGCCCCCTACTGGGGATGGAGCCCGCAACCCGGGCCTGTGCTCTTGACCGGAATCGAACCCTGAACCCTTCAGTCCGCAGGCCGACGCTCCATCCACTGAGCCACACCAGACAGAGGGAAAAAAATAAATAAATAAATAACCTTTAAAAAAAAAAGAACACAACCGAAACAGGTGTGGCTCAGTGGATGGAGCGTCAGCCTGCAGACTGAAAGGTCCCGGGTTCGATTCCTGTCAAGGGCACGTACCTTGATTGCGGGCACATCCCCAGTGCGGGGTGTGCAGGAGGCAGCTGATGGATATTTCTCTCTTATCAACATTTCTAACTCTCTATCCCTCTCATTTCCTCTCTGTGTAAAATCAATAAAATAAAATTAAAATTAAAAAAAACACATAAAAACAGCCCTAGCCCCGGCTGGTGTGGCTCAGTGGGTGGAGCGCCGGCCCGCGAATGAAGGGTCCAGGGTCGATTCCCGTCAAGGGCATATGGACCTGGGTTGCAGGCTCCACCCCTGGCTGCCCACCCCCGGGGTGTGTGTGGTAGGCAGCTGATGGGTCTATCTCTGTCTCCCCCAACCCCTTCCACTCTCTCTAAAAAATCAATGGGAGCCCTAGCAGCTGTGGCTCAGTGGACACAGTGTCCTCCTGCAGACTGAAGAGTCCCGGGTTCGAGTCCAGCCAAGGGCACCTGCCTGCGTTGTGGGCTCCATCCTCAGTGTGGAGCGTGCAGGAGGCGGCCGATCCATGATTCTCTCTCATCATGAATGTTTCTCTCTCTTCTTCTCCCTTCCTCTCTGACATCAATAAAAATAAATTTTAAAAAAGAACAAAGTGCTGAAACCGGTGTGGCTCAGTGGACAGACCGTCGGTCTGCGGACTGAAGGGTCCCGGGTTCGATTCTGGTCAAGGGCATGTACCTTGGTTGCGGGCACATCCCCAGTGGGGGGCGTGCAGGAGGCAGCTGGTGGATGATTCTCTCTCATCGATGTTTCTGACTCTGTCCCTCCTCTCTCTTCCTCTCTGTGAAAAATCAATAAAATATATATATTAAAAAAAGAGTAAAATAGGATCATAAAATAAAATAAAGTGACATGAATAAAATAAAATCATAAATAAAATTAATAGAGTAGAAAAACGTTAAATCATAAAATAAATTAGCTGACTAGAATAGAATAAAATAAATAGCGTAAAACAAAATCAATCAGAAATACGCGGAGGTCGGAGCGCCGTGCCTCCCGCTGAGAGGAGCTGCTGTCTGGGTGGGGGTCCCACCCCCGGCCCCCCATCGGGCCTCGGCAGCCTTGGGGGACCACGACGCCTCTTCTCTCCCGTGGGGACCGCGTGACCTGCGGGGGCGGGGCGGGCTCCGCGGGGCGGGGGCGGTTCTGGGAGGACTCGGGGCGCCCCGACCCCACCCCGCGACGGCCACGGGCTCCTGCGGCACCGGGGCGGGCTCCCCAACGCCACGGAGCCCGGGGGGGAGTCAGGGGGCTCAGGGCGGGCTCCCCAACGCCTCTGACAGCCCGGCGCCCAGCGCCTTCCCCCAGCGAGGTGCCCGAGGGCATTCCCCCCCCCCCCGCATCCCGCCCCGCCCCCCCCCCCCCGCAGGCCCCCGCCCCGCGCCCCCCGCCCCCCGCAGGCCCCCGCCCCGCGCCCCCCGCCCCCCGCAGGCCCCCGCCCCGCGCCCCCCGCCCCCCGCAGGCCCCCGCCCGCGCCCCCCGCAGGCCCCCCACCCCGCGCCCCCGCAGGCCCCCGCCCCCCGCAGGCCCCCGCCCCGCAGGCCCCCCCGCAGCCCCGCCCCCCGCAGGCCCCCGCCCCGCGCCCCCCGCAGGCCCCCGCCCCGCGCAGGCCCCCGCCCCCCGCCCCCCGCAGGCCCCTGCCCCCCGCAGGCCCCCCGCCCCCCGCAGGCCCCCCGCCCCCCGCAGGCCCCCAGCCCCGCGCCCCTCGCAGGCCCCCGCCCCGCGCCCCCGCAGGCCCCCCGTCCCGCGCCCCCCGCCCCGCGCCCCCGCAGGCCCCCCGCCCCGCGGCCCCCGCAGGTCCCCCGCCCCGCGCCCCCGCAGGCCCCCCGCCCCGCGGCCCCCGCAGGCCCCCCGCCCCGCGCCCCCCGCAGGCTCCCGCCCCGCGCCCCCCGCAGGCCCCCGCCCCGCGCCCCCCGCAGGCTCCCGCCCCGCGCCCCCCGCAGGCTCCCGCCCCGCGCCCCCCGCATCCGCCCCGCGCCCCCGCAGGCTCCCGCCCCGCGCCCCCCGCATCCCGCCCCGCGCCCCCCGCCCCGCGCCCCCCCGCATCCCGCCCCGCGCCCCCGCCCCGCGCCCCCGCAGGCCCCCGCCCCGCGCCCCCCGCAGGCCCCCGCCCCGCGCCCCGCGCCCCCCAGAGGCTCCCCGCCCCGCGCCCCCCGCAGGCCCCCGCCCCGCGCCCCCCGCAGGCCCCCGCCCCCCGCAGGCCCCCGCCCCGCGCCCCCCGCAGGCCCCCCGCCCCGCGCCCCGCGCCCCCCAGAGGCTCCCCGCCCCGCGCCCCCCGCAGGCCCCCGCCCCCGCGCCCCCCGCAGGCTCACCTCCGGGCGCGCCGCCCCCCGCGCCGGCCGGACCCGGGTGCCCGGCCACCAGCGGGACCAGCAGCAGGAGGCGGAGGGCCGCGGGCCCGGACCCCTGCGCCGCCATCGCCCCGGAGGCGCCTCAGGACTCGGGGGCGGAACCGCGAGCGGGTCCCAGCGAAGCGAGCGACCGGCCCTGGTTCCCGGCGCCCGAGGAGCCGCCCGCCCCGGCAAGCCCCGCCCCCCGCGCTGGCCCCGCCCGCCCGCCCGCCCCGTCTGGTTGTAGTGAAGGGTTTTCCCGCTCCGCCTCATTTGCATCCAGCCCGCCCCTCCCGCCATAGCCCCGCCTCCTCTCTTTAGCCCCGCCCTCCAGCCCCTCAGTCTTCCTACAGCCCTGCTCTGTCTGGTTGTAGTGAATGCTTTTCCCGCTCCGCCTCATTTGCATCCAGCCCGCCCCTCCCGCCATAGCCCGCCTTGTCCCTCTTTAGCCCCGCCCAGTCTCTTTAACCCCGCCCCCTCAGCCTTCTTAGGGCCCCACCCCGTCTGGTTGTAGTGGATGCTTTTCCCGCTCCGCTTCATTTGCATCTAGCCCGCCCCTTCCGCTATAGCCCCACCCCTCTCCTAACACCCGCCTCCTCTCTCTTTAGCCCCGCCCTCCAGCCAATCAGTCTATGTCCGGCCCTGCCCCGTCTAGTCTAGTCGTACTTAGTGCGTTTCCAGCTCCGCCTCATTTGCATCTATCCTGATCCCACCCCCACCCCCCCCTAGCCCCGGCCCACCCTCCTGCCCCTTAGTTTCCCTATGCCCCCCCCCCCCATCCCGCCCAGCTAGATCCCATCCCTGCCTTTGGTCTCTCTGCCCACTGGCCCCGCCTCCAGAGCAGGTGCCAGTGTACCTCAGCTGACCCTGGGCAAGGCCTCGCACACCTGGGCACACCTGCCATTCACTGACACCTGCACCCGGAGGCAGGCGACAGGTGGGCAGAGAGAGAACTGACAGGAAGCCCCGCAGGCGTCCCAGGTTCGATTCCGGTCAAGAGCATGTACCTTGGTTGCGGGCACATCCCCAATGAGGGGTGTGCAAGAGGCAGCTGGTCGATGTTTCTCTCTCATCGACGTTTCTAGCTCTCTATCTCTCTCCCTTCCTCTCTGTAAGAAATCAATAAAACATATTTTTAAAAGAGAGTCAACTTAACCTTTAAAAAAAAAAAAAAAGAAAGAAAAGAAAACTGTGACATGGCCACATAGTCACGAGGGGTAGAATGTGCCCCTGGCTCAGGCCCCCCACCCGCACCCCAAGGATACCTCCCAGCAGCCTGCGGTCTCCAGGTCCCAGTCAGCCAGGCCACTGGGCAAGTACCCCCCTTGGGACCAGTTTCCTTGTTCATTTTATATATATATACTAGTGGCCTGTGCATGAAATTCATGCATGGGTGTGTGTGTGTGTGTGTGTGTGTGTCTCAGCCCGGCCTGCACCCTCTCCAATCTGGGACTCCTTTGGGGATGTCCAGCTGCCAGTTTAGGCCTGACCACAGGGATCGGGCCTAAACCAGCAGCCAGACAACCCTCTGGCAATCCGGGACTGCTGGCTCCTAACCGCTCACCTGCTCACCTGCCTGCCGGCCTGATCGCCCCCACCTGCCACCCCTGCAGGCCTGATCGCCCCCAACTGCCCTCCCCTCCTGACCTGATTGCCTCTAACCTCCTCTGCCTCAGCCCCCCCCCCCCCACCATGGCTTTGTCCATAAGGATGTCCGGAAGGTCTCCTGGTCTAACTAGCATATTACCCTTTTACTGGTATACTAGAGGCCTGGTGCACAAACTTGTGCATAGGTGGGGTCCCTCGGCCTGGCCGGCAATTGGGGCTGTTTCACCCAGTCCCGATGGAGGCCTGCAGGGACCATGGGAGGTTGGTCGGCCACAAAAGGTTGGCTGTGGGAGCTCACTGTTCACCAGGGAGAGGTGCACTGAGCGTCTGCCCCCTGGTGGTCAGTGTGTTGTCATAGCGACCGGTCTCCCTGTCATTTGGTCAACCGGTTGTAACAGTCATGTAGGCTTTTATATATATAGATATATACTAATAAAAGGGTAATATCTGCTGAAACTGGTTTGGCTCAGTGGATAGAGCGTCGGCCTGCAGACTGAAGGGTCCCGGGTTCGATTCCGGTCAAGGGCATGTACCTTGGTTGCGGGCACATCCCCGGTAGGGGGCGTGCAAGAGGCAGCTGGTCGATGTTTCTCTCTCATCGACGTTTCTAGCTCTCTATCCCTCTCTCCTCCTCTCTGTAAAAAATCAATAAAATATATATTTTTTAAAAAGGGTAATATCTGTATAAGTGATTTCAGAGCGGAAGAAAGAGGAAGAGAGAGATTGAAACATCCATGATGAGAGAGAATCATAGACCCGCTGCCTCCTGCACGCCCCCCGCTGGGGACCGAGCCCACAACCCGGGCCTGCGCCCTGACCAGGAATCGAACCGTGGCCCCTAGTTCCTAGGTCAACGCTCCACCCCTGAGGCACACCGGCCGGACCCGTTTCCTCCTTCTGGAACCGAGCAGGTCCCCAGGAGAAGCCCCCCTCCTCCGGGCAGTCCACGGAGACGCCACGCCATGGCCTCAGAAGCCCCAGCGAACACCGTGACGCCATCCGCCACCGGCGCTGTGGCTCCCACGCTGACGGACGCTGCCAGCGGCAGGCCCACGCACACCCAGCCCTGCCCTCCCGCCCGTCCCTCCCGCCCACGATGGCTCCGGAAGCTCTTTGGCTGCAGAGATTCTGTGAAGCCGCGGTGGCAGAGCGTGGCCAGGCCCCCCCAGAGCTCCATGGGGGTGACACCCCTCAGAAATGTCACTCAGGCCGGGACCAGTTTGGCTCAGTGGTAGAGCGTCGGCCTGCGGACCGAAAGGTCCCGGGTTCGATTCCGGTCAAGGGCATGTACCTTGGTTGCAGGCACATCCCCAGTGGGGGGTGTGCAGGAGGCAGCTGGTTGATGATTCTCTCTCATCGATGTTTCTAGCTCTATCCCTCTCCCTTCCTCTCTGTAAAAAATCAATAAAATATATATTTTTAAAAGCAAGCATGGCTCAGTGGTTAGGCATTGACCTATGAACCAGGAGATCAAGGTTTGATTCCCGGTCAGGGCACATGCCCAGGTTGTGGGCTCAATCCCTAGTGGGGGGCGTGCAGGAGGCAGCTGATCCATGATTCTCTCTCATCATGGATGTCCCTCTCTCTCTCTCTCTCTCTCTCTCTCTACCTTCTTCCCTGAAATCAGTGACAATGTATTAAAATACTAGAGGCCCGGTGCATGGATTTGTGCACTGGTGGGGACCCTCAGCCTGGCCTGCACCTCTCACAGTCTGGGGGCTGTCAGAAGCCGGTTTCAGCCTGATCCCCAAGAATCTGGGCACCGGGCCTCTAGTAGGCATATAAGATATTTGGTTAATCTCTTCCTGCCCCCCCCCTTCCCTCTGAGATCCATCAGCCGGTTCCATGTTTCCCTGCCTGTGCACTGAGCGTCTGCCCCCTGGTGGTCAGTGCCTGTTATGGCTACCAGTTAAACGGTCGCTTAGGTTTTTATATACGTATATACTGGTGACCCAGTACACAGAATTCGTGCATGGGGGGGGGGGCAGGGGTGGAGGTGTCCCTCAGCCCGGCCTGCACCCTCTCCAATCTGGAACCCCTAAACAGGCAGTCAGACATCCCTCTGGCAATCCAGGACTGCTGGCTCCTAACTACTCATCTACCTGTCTGCCTGATCGCCCCTAACCACTCTGCCTGCCAGTCTGCTTGCCACCAACTGCCCTCCTCTGCCCTCTCCTGCCCTCCCCTCCCCTGCCCTCCTCTCCCCTGCCCTCTCCTGCCCTCCCCTCCCCTGCCCTGTCCTCCTCTCCCCTGCCCTCTCCTGCCCTCCCCTCCCCTGCCCTCCTCTCCCCTGCCCTCCCCTCCCCCACCCTCCCTTCCCCTCCCCTGCCCTGTCCTCCTCTCCCCTCCCCTCCTCTGCCCTGTCCTCCCCTGCCCTGTCCTCCTCTCCCCTCCCCTCCCCTGCCCTGTCCTCCTCTCCCCTGCCCTGCCCTGCCCTGTCCTCCTCTCCCCTGCCCTCCCCTGCCCTCTCCTGCCCTCCCTCCCCTGCCCTCCCCTGCCCTCGCTGGTCACGGTATGTAATTGCCTGCCCTGCAGTGTCTGATTCCCCATAGGAATCAGCTCCAGCAGCTGTGCTGCCAGCCCCAGCGGGGGCCCAGGACACAGAGTGTGCAGGCGATGGGCAGTGACTGTGGGTGAATAAATGAATAAATGAATAAATGAATAAATGAATAATAAGGAGCTCGCCCAGGGGCTCCAGCAAGCTGGAAAATGGCGAGCAGGCTGCCAACCCACGGGTGCTGCCTTCAGACACGAAATCTCGCCCGGCCGGCGTGGCTCCGTGGCTGAGCGTCGACCTAGGAACCAGGAGGTCAGGGTTCGATTCCCGGTCAGGGCACAGGCCCGGGTTGTGGGCTCCGTCCCCAGTGGGGGGCGTGCAGGAGGCAGCCGGTCCGTGATTCTCTCTCATCATGGATGTTTCTCTCTCTCCCTCCCCCTTCCTCTCTGAAATGAATAAGAACAGATTAAAAAAGTAAAAAATAGCTGTTGGTGGCGATTATTTGTGTGGCAATTAATGTTGGATGTGCATTTTCGGATACAAAACCCTTCGCCAAGGCCTGCTGATACTTCCACATTAAAAGCGAGTGGGGCCCTGACCGGTGTGGCTCAGTGCCTGCGGACTGAAAGGTCCCGGGTTCGATTCCGGTCAAGGGCATGTGCCTTGGTTGCGGGCACATTCCCAGTGGGGGCCGTGCAGGAGGCAGCTGATGGATGTTTTTCTCTCATCGATGTTTCTAACTCTCTATCCCTCTCTCTTTCTCTCTGTAAAAAATCAATAAAAAATATTTGAGAGGGAGAGAAAGAGAGAGAGAGGGAGGAAGAGGGAAGGAGATTCGGAGGCCACATAAACAGCAGAAATAAACAATGAACACCGTCCTCTGAGCGGAGTGATGGAATGTGTTGTCTCTCACCTCCACGAAGCTGCTGGCTCCCCGTTTTTTATTACGGGGTCAGCTGAGCTGAACGCAGAGCCGGGCGGGTGTGGAAAACCCCGTCAGCGTTTCGTCCCGGCTCGGCGATCCATCCCTCCGCCAGCCTCAAGGACGACCGCCAAGTGACAGGCTCGTGAGAGATGGAAACGGACGCGGTCCAT